CTAGAAGTACAACTCAAAGTGAGTTCAACTGAAAAATGTAGGAGGCCACTGCAGATAAGTATGCTGTGCTCAGACTGATGTTTACAGGTAGGTAAAAGGCGCTGATATTACTCTTCACCTGCACAGCTGTTTGCTTTCAGCCTGGGTCATTAAACTATTTGGTGATTTTCCACAGTCTGACATTTTTATATATTTTTCCCCTTTCAAATTGTATTACTCTGCTGCCCAGACTGCGCTACATTACATTCACAGAAAGCTATTAGGCAGTAGAGCTGGCTGCTTGTTGTCTTTATTTGGAGTCTTGATTTGTAATTTCATAATCATCCAGATCTTAACTCCAAATGTCAAAAATGTTTATTTTATTAATCTGCAAAGGTTTAAGAGTGGTTCTGTAAAAACCCTCCACTTTACCAGATAATCTGGGCTGAACATCGGTGTCTGTGAGTCTCACAGCAGTTTTCTCCTCCAAACGTTGACAGGAGTGAATCAGGGTTAAATGTGCCCAAAACCCCTGCTGTCTGAGCCTCTAGCTCTCTTTATTGACATCACTAAAGCCAAGGGGTGCTTTTTCTAACGGGGAAGTTGCCAGTTGTGTTATCTTTTGACCCACCCTCGTGCACCTTCTGTCCCCAGTGCTGTATCTCTGTGTGTTTAGCAGTGGGAGTAGAGCTGGCTGGGGAACAAGTTAGCAGGGTTACAGCTGTGTTTATCGGTACACAGGTGAGCTCAGGGCCATGAGTCGCCCAGACAACACGCTGGCCCAGGCTCCCTTGTCTGGCAACTGCAAATAAATTAATATATATATATATAGGAGAAAGGGGCAAGAGAAAAGAGAGGGGAAAAAAACCCATTTGCACACACCTACACATGTGCAGAAGCATCTTACAGCATCTAACAGGCTCACAAGTGAGCAGCGCACACAAACAGGAGGCTCCTCTCCTAATCGAGTCCTAATTACAATGGCTCATATGCCTCAAAGCTGACAGTTTCTGATTTAACTGCCTTTACATTTTGGCTGAGATTTGACTCCGACCTGGGCCAGCTGTCATTTATCAGCTTCCCCGAATTGCACGCAACTGTTGCTAAACCGCAGCAGTAGTGTGGCGTGCACTCTGGGTGTTGCTAGGTTACGATACCAGGCTGCTGATGGCTAAGTGGCTGCGGGATCATCGATGGACACTCTGCATAGAGGGCTGACAGCAGGTCTTCTGGACCATTTGGCAACTTGTGAGTCAGATGCTCTTGAAATCCCACATCTGGTGGCAAGCCCATACAAATCAAGATCAAAGTGCTGCCTTTGAGACCGAGCCCATCTCTCAACCTTTCTGCCTCTCTCCTGTCGAGTTTCATTTTCATTTCTCTCTCTTCAACTGTTCCTCTGCCTTCACGCATTCCTCTGCCTGCTTTGTCATCCCTCCTTTGCTTTCCCTCTGTTGTTGCTGTCTTGACTCGCTCGCCCTCCTGCTGAGAGGTAATCAAGCCCTGTTGTGAGTGTTTAAGCATTGGAGCAGACGCACGTTGAATTATTCTCAGGACTTAATATTTTGTCTGGGAGGGGAGAACCAGCCTCCTTACCACATGCTGGGTAAAGGCCACGCACACATAAGTGCAACACCGAGAAGTTGTGTGCGTGGATGTGCGCGCACACACACACCCACACATGGTTAGTCAGTGAGTCAGTGAGTCAGAAAGTTGTCAGTCACACAGATCTCATGCTGACAGAGTTACAGGTACCAGACTGATAGGACCTGACAGGCAGACCCCACCGCATGCAAGGATATACTGCACTGGCACAGCGTATCCACCAACACATGAGCGAACGCAGCCTATGAAACAGGCTGTATGACTAAGTACAGGAGAGCAAAACAAATGCACACAATTGCACATAAATATGCACTCATAAAAAACCCAGTGACAAGCAGCCAAGCATCCGCTAACACGCACACAAAAATGACAGCTAACATCCTCAAAGTTAAACAAGTGAACCAACAAAGGAGAACAGACAATGTAAGAACTCATCTCCCCCTAATTCCCTTCAGTCTTCAGCTCCTCTCACATCTCTCCTCTACGCCGCTTCATTTATTTCTTCCTCTCTCCAACTCTGTCCTTATCTATCTTTCCTACTCCTGCGCTCCATTCTGCCTTGAGCTCGCCTTTATCAGCGCTTCTTCTCCTTTTTTCCCCCCCTCTCTTCTTTCCTTTTCTCTGCCACTGTGAACTTAAACTCTCAGTAGAACCAGAAGCTGATATCACACAGCCTCAGTGCTGCTTTAATCTCACTCAGAAAAAACACACCGACGCACACTCACACCTGGGTGGCCGTTATAATGCTCAAAGCTTGGCTACTGCATTATTTCCATACCTATTAGTGTCATGCTCCTTTGCAGCTCCACACCCCCAGATGTCTTTCATTTCCCCCCCTACCTCAATCTAAATTGCCTCAAGTGATGTCATCACTATAAGACAGTTTATCAGATTTTCCTCAGCTCACTCCTGAGCCACAAACACATCCAACCTTCTCTCCATATTTAGCAGTAGTCCCCCAAAGCTGTGAACAGACTGTGATAAAAATCAGCGGAGTTCTCCTTTAAAATATCCCATTTAGAATAATGAAGGTATTACAGTTACCTCTCTTTGCCACACTTTTAGTTTTTGTCATCTTTTGCATAAACCTTTAGCACTATAGTCCCACGCAGAGCTGATATTAGCCAATTAGTTGCCAATCTGAGTTTCACTTGTGGTTTTTTGGTGTTTCAAGCAGTTAAGCTGATAAAGATGCAAGACTGGTAAAGAGGCAGGACTCTAAAAAGAACAAGTGAGCCAACCTAGAAAACAACTAAATGAATGTTTGTCTATAGTGGCCGGTAAACCTCTTGATATTTGTGAGCAAAATGGCCCAAAAACACTCCTTGATCTAAAGCCAGAAGAAGGTAAATATGTTTGGCTTTGAGGCAAAAAGCCCAATTATTAGCTGAGCAATGCTAACACACTAAACGTGCACTAAACCGAGAAATAATCCATCAATTTTTTTTGCCATTTTTAACATTCAAGGCTGTGATTTGATCAGGCAAGAATATTAGAGAGAGATTATTGGAGATCACCTGAATCGCCTGGGTTTTTCAGCGAGCCAATAACTCTATATCAAATTACCCTGCTCCGCCTCGCAGAAATGTAACCAGACAGAAAGATACGAGCAACTGTGACTGGTCCTCTTGGTAATGATGCACTGTGTATGCATGTAAATTGATCTGTGCAAAGAAATGTTCTCTTGTGAAACAAAATGTAATATTTCATGTGTTTATTGTACAGTATGTGGTTATATCTAAATGCACGCAGTAGCCTGAAACGTGTACAGTATAGTATATATCTTCAGTGTCTGAAGATGCTGTTGACCACCGATCAACAAACTTTTTCTATATTTTTTTTAGTAAAAACTTCCATAAAATGATCTTTAATTTAGCAAGATTTATTCTTGTCCCTTAACTATATGTCTGTTTTCTTATTGTCTTCTCTGTTATGCTAATAATTTCATCTCAGTAAGACCTCAGTAGACACATCAGCTGAAGGCCAGATGCGTCTCTCAGGTCCTGTGTCAGGACTTTCTTAAGAACATGACTTTCAGATACTTTTCATCTGCTGTGGATATTTTTTTTAGACCTGACACTTCTTTCTTTTGTCCTCCACCTGTCCATTTTTCCTCATTTTATAAGGACACATTCTGAGATATGCCACGTTTTCAGTTAATAGCTCTTGGGAATCACCTTGTTGGTGCAAAAACATTATTTTATGTCTGTCAAGCTGTTTTATTGTCTGCATTATTCCTCAAATTCAACTAAAGAAATGGGAACAAATTCTGCTTTTTTTGACAGGTTGCTTGTAACAAAGTGCCTAAAGATACCATTTAAAATGGTCTGTCATATGTAGACAACGCGTAAGATAGGTGCTCCTTTTTTATGCTTGAATGGTTTATGGGTCAATTTGGTTTACCAAAAAAGCAAAAATTCTCATGAAAACAAAAAATTAGTGGTGAAAAAGTGTAAAAATACTTTGAAAGGACTTCGGAAAGCCCAGAGAAACAGAGAAAGTCTGGCTCCTTGGAAGGAAAATACAAAGAAAGGGGTGGTGTGGCTCAAGACTTTTGCACAGTACCGTACTTCAAGCTATCACAAAAAAGCTCGTCTAAGACAGTTCAGGCTGTGTTGACGATCAAGCTTGTTAAAATTATAGAAACTCAGATTTTTGGCTTATATACTGTATCCCCACAAAGGTTTGCTTAAAATATAAAGATATTAGGACTGGCTCCAAACTTTAAGGGAGTATTTTTATAGCAAAAAATAACACAAATAAATATATTATAGTTAGAGGCTTATTTATGTCCCAATAACTGTGTTTTTCAGGGTTTTTAAAATAAAATAAAATGGCTAAAATAAAATAAAGTGACTGTCAGCTTTTGTGATTTATGTAAATGCAGAGTTCTGATCTCCTACTTAATTAAATGTCTTGTAGATATGAAGAAAGTTGGAGGAGAACACCTAGGAAAGTGCCTCCTGTCATGTTGACCCTACAGTTTCATCACATTACACAAGCAGCAGTGGAGCGCCACTTAATAATTGAGTTCCATTTACTCTGCTATAAATGGAACTCAGTGATACATCCGAGTTTGTGCTGCTGCTCGGGTTTGAGGTAAAGAGGGGAAACTGAGCTACTTTAAGACCTCTCTAAGAGAAAAAATGCACAAGTTATTTAAACGAATTCGTTAAAAGAGGAAATTGTTGATATTAAGACAGCACCAATTCCTTATTAAAAGCCATTTTTTAAATTCATGAAGCAGTTTAACCTTCGTTTTTCTAGAAAGACTCAACGGTGCAACTCTTTTTCCACATCGTCCTGCATCCCTGTTACACTTTCCCACACATTCACACCTGGAAGCTGTCCAGCAGAAACACATGGAAGCAGCCTCACCGGAGCTGCTAGAAGTTACACAAACACTTTATACTCACACTTTGCAGGAAGGCGGTAGCCGCAGGTAATCTTGGCCTCTCCTGTCTTACAGCCGTTGAGCGAAGCACACTCCTTTTTTAGCATGGGACCAGCAGCGCGGTGGATCGCTCCGTCCACTGGAAAGGAGACGACAGGAGATTTTAAAAAGTTGGCCTACTTATGTGAATCCCCTGCAATCTCACTAATTACAGCAGCCAGAGTGTGGTTTGAAGTCCAGCAGACACTTTTACTGGAGTCGAGGCTTAGCGCTAAAAGGACCTGGATAATGTTGGTATTAGCGGTGAACGCTTGAATTTCCAGGCTTCTGCAGGTTACTAACTTTTCACCCCTAATCCTGCTTGCATCTGTCTCTCTACATGTCAGTCTATTTAATGGATTTTAAGGCTATTGCCTTCCTTAATTACTTGATTTAATGTGTTATTAAGGACTCAGCTGACTTTGACTTTTTGGGCAATTACTCTTTATTAATTAAATTTTCATGAATCTACATAATATTCATAAATGTGTATCTGTCTTTGATCCCCACCACATCTAAAGACCGTGACTGTGTTCATTTCCAGGAGGGCAATGATGCGGCTGAAGCAATTTTACAGCTGTGCCAATTACATTTTCAGACAGAATCTATGCACCCCTTGCAGTCAGACTTATTTCTTCAAAGTTCATTTTGATACAGTTTTATTATTATGATTTGCAGCATTATGAAAGCGAGAAAGAAGAATTTAATGCGTCTAATTCACACTTCAAGGAAAAAAAGCACTAAAAATATCAAACTTCAACAAATGAGCTTTTAAAATCATGTAAAACAATAATCCATCCACAGAGACACTATAGCAGTAACCGTAATAACGTAGATTTTCTGTGATTTGATTGACTCATTGATCACTGATCAGCTGGGGTGAAGAGGAGGAATAAGCTGGAGGTCCAACCAAGTCTTCCAGAAATTACATTTACATATTCCCATTTTTCAGCATTCAGGTTCTTCTGTGGCGTTTTTACATTTCTTTTATCAACACATTGTGAAACCTTTTGGGACATTGTGGCTCACGGGCTTTAGCTTAACAGCCGCGGCCAACAGAGCACCCACGGGTGGTTTTTAATGAAAGTAAAACACCTGTTTGCTGAAAACATATTTCATTTATTTGAATAATGATGACTAATACTATTCTATGCTTTCTAATGATTTTGGGAAAGATCACGATTATCCTTAGATAAAAGTCAAGAGTGAAGAAAACCTCAGGAAATGCTCACCTAATTTACTGACTATAAATCACTTCATTATTTTTTACCAAACATTTTAAAATATAGTTGTCCCAAACCTTGTGATACATAACTGTACTCAAGTCAGTACTTTGAGGTGCGTAGGCATGGTCAGGTCAATCAAGTGAAGTTCGAAGCGAGCATCAGAATGAAGAAGAAAGGTGATTAAAGTGACTTTGAACGTTGGTGCCAGACGTGCTGCCCCAAATATTTCAGAAACTGATGCTCTACTGGGATTTTCACACAGATCCCTCTCTAGTGTTTACAGAAAATATTGTTTTTTAAGTTAAATATTCAGTGAAAATCAGTTCTCTGGGCAAAAAAAGCCCTGTTGATACTAGAGGAGAATGGTCAGACTGCTCTAAGCTGATAGGAAGGCAGTAGTAAGTCAAACAACCACTCATTAAAACCTAGAAATACAGAAGAGCATCTCTGATTGCACAACACATGGAGTAGAGCAGCAGAAGACCACACCGGGTGTCACCCCTGTCAGCTAAGAAAAGGAGCCTGAGACTACAATTCACACAGGCTCACCAAGACTAAAAAGATTTGAAAAGTATCTCCTGGTTTAATGAGTTTTGATTTCTGCTGCAACATTCAGATGACAGGGTCACAATTTAGCATGAACACCATTAAACATGAATCCATGTGCCTTTATCAACAGCTCAGGCTACTGGTAGTGTAATTGAGGTAAGGGAGACTTTCTCAGCACACTCTGGCCCCCTTAGCACCAATTAAGCATCAGTGAAACACCACAGCCTGTCTCTGCGTTTTTGCCGACCATGTTCATCCCTTTACGACCACAGTGTGCCCATCTTATAACTGCTGCGTCCAGCAGGATACACATCGTGTCACAAAGGTAAAATCATCCGAAACTTGTTTACTCAACATGCCAATGAGACATGACACTACACTCAGGCCTCAACAGTTAGCAAATCTCAATCCAATAGAGCACGTTTGGGAAGTGGTAGAATAGAAGATTCACGTCGTGGATATGCAGCCCACAAATCTGCAGCAATTGTCTGATGCTGTCATGTCAAAAATGACCAAAATTTGTGAGGAATGTTTCCAGCAGCTTGTTGAATAAATGATGAATTAATACAACTATCAAGGCTAAAGGGGTACAACCCAGTACTAGCAAGGTGTACCTAATAAAGTGTACAGTGGGTGTATACTCTAAATGAAGTGTGTAAAACATAAAACCCTGTGTTTCTATATGTTTTACAGCTTTTCCTGCAGATAAAGACCTCCCCCACAGATATTCATACTACACCAAAGTAATTGGTGGTGTAGGTATTAGTTAAATCAGGGGTGTCAAACTCCAGGCCTCAAGGGCCGGTGTCCTGCAGGTTTTAGATGTGTCCTTGATCCAACACGACTGATTTAAATGGCTAAATTACCTCCTCAACATGTCTTGAAGTTCTGCAGAGGCCTGGTAATGAACTAATCATTTGATTCATGTGTGTTGACCCAGGTTGATATCTAAAACCTGCAGGACACCGGCCCTCGAGGCCTGGAGTTTGACACCCCTGAGTTAAATAGTTCAATGACAGAAAAGTTCCTGTTTTTCAATGTCTACTAGAAATTTTACACTTTGTTGTTTTATAAAACAAAAACATGCAACACTGTAACTTTACCCATTCATCATGTAGAAAAACTAAGATGTACTGTTGAAATTGCACTTCTTTATCTTATATTGAGATATGAGAAAGTGGAGGTTCACTCGTCCGGTCCACTCAAGTTCAAAGTGGGCTGTAAATGGATGTAAAATTAGGTTTTGTTTGTTTTTAAACCAAGAAAAAGTTTCATATGAAAATGAGTATAATCAGTTCGATGTACTACAAGAAAGAACAGGTTCTTAGCTTCACCACGGTGGAGGAAGGCCAAGATGGTGATATGGAAGGTAAGCCTTTCACTCACAGTTACAAGTAAGGAACAATATTGTTTGAACCGTGAATGTGTTTTTAGGAGCACATGCAAAAGAAAGACTATAAAAGCCAGCCTGAGCAGCATCTTATTTTCCCCCCAACAACGGTCTGCAACACAACATCCATGACAATGGCACTGTCAGTTATCTGTGTGTTCTTTGTGCAGCCTCTCCACTCACACACACACACCCACACACTGCAAAGATACACCGATGTATTGGAGACCTTGAGCTCAGGTGAAGTCAAGCACAACTTCTTCTAGAGTTAACAACTGCTCTAATTACTCTGACTATAAAATTTTGTGGGTTATTAACACACATCGCCCTACCAGCTCGTACTAAAGTAATCTTTTCTACTCTAACATCCACTTTTGGCTTGTTTTACACAGCCACAGCTCTCTTGCAAGGCTAAAATGAGTTGCCAGAAACATTTTAAAATGAAAGCAATGTGTGAAGACTAACTGTGAGCCTAATTTGTTATCAATTTCCAGCTTTGCCAGATTCTAGAAAGCGCTGTTACAGACAGCCGCCCTCCTCTCTCTATAGCAGTGATTCTAGCAGCATGCTACTTTCTACTTCTATTCCACTACATTTTGAGAAGCTTTCACTACATTTATTTTAGAGTGCAGTTACTAATTATTTAGTAGATTGAGATTATTAATATCAATTATACATGTAAAGAGAAACTATCCTATCTAAAAACAGACTACGCTAAATAGCAATACACACCGATCAGGCACAACATTATGACCACCTGCCTAATATTGTGTCGGTTCCCTTTTGCTGCCAAAACGGCAATGGTCATTGAGGCATGGACTCCACTAGATCACACAAGATGTGCTATGATATCTAACGCCAAGGTGTTAGTAACACATACAGTAAGTCTTGTAAACTTCGAGGTGTCCAGCACATTTCACAGATGCTCGATTGGATTGAGATCTGGGAATCTGGAGGCCAAGTCAGCACCTCGAACTCATTGCTGTGTTCCTTAAACCATTTATGAGCCAGTTTTGCTTTGTGGCAGGGGGCATTATTGTGCTGAAAGAGGCCAGAGCCATTGGGGAATACTATTTCCATGAAAGGGTGTGCATGGTCTGCAACAATGGTTAGGTAGGAGTAACACATGGATGGCAGGACCCAAGGTTTCCCAGCAGAGCACTGCCCAAAGCATAGTACATCCTGGTGCGAGGTGTACTATGCTGTAAGTGTAAGTGACTAACACACGCCCGGCCATCGACATGTAAAAAAAGGAACGCGATTGATCAGACCAGGCCACCTGCTTCCATTGCTACGTAGTCCACTTCTGATGCTCACATGCCCTTTGTTAGGACTTTTTGGTGGACAGGGGTCAGCACGGGTACTTAGACTAGTTTGCAGTTATGCAGCCCCATATGCAAAAAACTGCAATGCACTGTGTATTCTGGCACTCTTCTACTGAACCAGCATTTTGAGCTACAGTAGCTCTTCTGTTGGATAAGACCCCACGGGCATCAGTGAGCCTTGGGTGTCCATAACTCTGTGAGTGGTTCACCAATGTTCCTTCCTTGGACGGCTTTTGATAGATACTGACCACTGCAGACCCGTAACACCCCACAAGAGTTGTAGTTTGGACACGCTCTGACTCAGCTATCTAACATCACTGTTTGGCCCTTGTCAAACTTACTCAAATCCTTACACTTGCCCATTTGTTCTGCTACTAACACATTAACTTTGAGGTCAAAATGTTCATTTGCTCCCTAATATATCCCACCTTATAGCAGGTGAAGAAATAATTAGTGTTATTAACATCACCTGTCAGTGATCATAATGTTATATTTGATCAATTGAGCAATAACCAACCAATGGAAAAAACATCCATCCATCCATTATACAATTCAGGGTTGTGGGGTCAGGCACTGACGCGAGGAAGGAGGACTGGTTCACCCTGCACAG